CCTTTCTTATTTTGTCTTACTTTATACAAGATGGAATGGCAAAGTGACGTTTCACAAGACGAATAGTGTTTTTTTTTATTAAATGAAAAGGTATTCTCGCACGTATTATTAATATACGCTGTCAAAGTACCAGAGATTTGACAGTATGAAGTCAAGATAGTTGGAATTGTGATTAAGTACCGGAAATTAACCATGATGATTTCCATGACGGACCGCAAGGACGTTGACTTGTTTATTTTTTTTTTTAATGAATGAAGAGTAAATAGTGGCCTTGCCTACGCTATCAGTATACACTGGCGAGGCACCAGTGAGGAATAAATGAATGAATGGTTTATTTTCTCTGCACAAGAGGTAGCAAAAAGTAACAACTTGAGGTACATGGATGATAAGTAAGAACGAAGCAGATCAGTTGGCCCATCGTGATTATTTCAACAATTCCAGAGAGAGAGTGTAGCTTGACCCAGTAGGCTTTTTTGCTAGCAATGGAGCAATTAGACTCCATTACTAACAATCCCTTTTCTCTCCACGTTGACTTGTTAGTGTATATCACAACCACTGGGCCCACTGGACTACAATATTTTTGTATATACAATATTAAATTGCCATTTTTAAGGCTATATAGTGTATGCAGATAAGGCATTTTGTACTCGCTGTTCCCCTCGTCCACCCAGGCTGTTCAAAAATAATCCTTAGTTTACATTTTAGTATTGGTCATAATAAACCATCATTTAGCCAAATTATTAAAGACTGTTTCCGAATGGTGACGGCCGATATACTTAACCCATGGAAACAGGTAATACTATAAGACAATATCTATAAAATGAGTAACTTCATTAAACATTATCTAACTACACAGTCGACATCTGAGGCAAACAATTAAGAAGTGGTATCTTATTTATCTAGAAGATGCCTATAGAATCGGTTAACAATCATTTTTATATTATGCTCATTTATAGAATACGTATCGAACGGTCATAAATTCAAGGGTCCGAAAATAATCGAGGCTGGAATCAGTCTCCACCGATATCAAGGGTCCACCGTCGTTATGGTTATGACCAAAATCGACCCCTAGCTTATGCGAACATAATGACCGGCGGACCGTGCTTACACTGGTACGTAGTTAGGTACACATTTAGGCATATTTCAAAGGCAAAAGACGTTTGATTGGAAAAAAATCTCAGAATAAATGTATGTATTTAGTATTTTAATAAGTAAAACGATGGTGATTTAATTATTTTACATAGAATTAGAATTACTTGTATGGTATTAATATTATAAATATGAAAGTTTACAATGATGATTAAATGTTTCATAGCTAAACAAATTTTGACTAAGAGTGTGACGTATTGCACAAAGTCAAACAAATAAAACTTTTAACAATTGAAAATAATACTTTGAAATTAAGGTTTATTTAGAAGAACATACACCGATTTCTCTTAGGTTTTTAGGCATGCTTTAAATCTTTTTTTCTTTTTTTTTCAATTAATATAAATAGATCCTAATTAGAATAATTATTTTTATATTTTCTTTTAGATTCTACCTGCAATTGCGACCATACAATCGACAAAACATGTTACTCCACTATTTATAACATCGAGTTCTTTCAATGTGGTAGCTGATAACCCGTTGGCTATATTTGAAGCGAACAAGGCGTTTGGCTAGAATATAGAGCTATTGGATAATCCCAAACAAGCGTTCAAAGCAAAATATATATATATATAGTTAGACCCTCGTAAATGCTTGTCCTTTGAAAAATCAGACCAAACAAACTACGTCTACACTGACTGTAGAATAAAATTCAAACGAATTTTATGATTACAAAAAAAAAAAGAATATTTTCTTGAGTTTCCTTTGCTTGGAAAATACTTCTCTTGTACCATTTCAGTGTGGGACTTTAAAAATGATATAACTTCCACTATATTACTACTTTACATTAAGTGGATTTCAAGCTAGTCCAATTGCATGTTTAATTAATTTAGAATTCTAGTTCTAATTTTTGTGTCTCTATCTATAGAAATTTGCAAATTACGTATAAACTTAATGTTATACAATATTATTTCTGTTTTCTTAGAATTTGATTAACAGAGAATATTTATAGTATTAAGTCGGATTTTGTACCATATTTTTTTGTACGTTGTGACTAAAAAAGAAAAAATAGTTTCTTTCTGTTTCAGCTTCTGTTTTACCTCACCATTAGGTATGTAATTTCATTTCATTCACAAAAGCCTTATAAACATTTACCACAAAAAAAATGTAAAAATTATAAAATGTATAAATATAATAATATAATGTATGTACATTATTATATAATATATAATTATTCCATGCTTTCTACTTTATTTGTTTGTATAAAATCGTCTTTTTATTTTAAAAATTAAATTTCTAAAATGTAGACCGCAACCAAATTACAAGTTATGTATGCAATCTCGTACCAACCAGATATCAAAAGAATTCCCCGCATTAAAAATATCCTTATTATCAGGTACCTCAATTGTTATTTGTGATGGCCCGTTATCTTGCACGGGTCGAGAGCGCTATCAACAGTAATGGGGGTCTTGCTTGGATTGTATTTGTCGATTAGAGCTAAAGGCCCAAAAGAATATTGAAATTTGTCCCTACCCACAACTAGCCCTGTTCAACATAGTATCGTCATTGCTTTCGTGATCTTTCTTCTCGGCTATACTTCGGCCACCTTAATTTTGCGCTACATTGCGCTAGCCCATTCGGCTTAGTGGCAAAAAACAAATAGATACCTATAGGTACTTTATCTTTATTGGCATAGGTACATTTAGCGCGTTCGCATTCCTACGGCTTAGTTTCATTTGGACACAATTTCACGGGACACTGTTTCGAATAGGCACATTGATATCATCGAATACGAAATACTAGAAGTTTAGAATAAAATAAGACTTAAAATTTTAGAACAAGAAATAAAATATATACATTACAAGTAACAAATTCCATCAATCCATATTAAACGACTGAAATTTGTTTAAAAATCATTTCAAAGCGAACCCTTAAACAGATGTATCTTTGATAGATATATTAATATCATTTATCGAATATATCCTGCTGTATGTTCCCGCGGAATTCCAAAAATTCGCGTATTCTAATGAATTCAACTTGTAAACCCCTCTAAAAAGTTGTTATCTTGTATAAGACGAAAAATAATCACAGCCTTGTTTAGGTAACTAAGTTGAAAAAGCCATTTAAACTTCCTGTAATCTTAGTCAGTGTCTGCTTTACACAGAATTGTTCTTAATGATAAATAAACTTTTAAGTAAAAAGTAGACTCGACTTTCTAAATTTTGACCATTCTCCATTCTCATTTTTGTTCTTTTAAAATACTTGGCAATACTTTAGAGAATTTTAAAATACTAAAAACTAAATAAGAAAGATATTTAATAAAAGCGATCCTCTTACTAAAGTAAAACACAATAATTTGTTGTTTCTGATTATTATCATTTTCACATAAGACTATTTCAAAATCAATACAAATAAGTGTACTTTGAAAGAGTCTTATGTCAAAAGAAAAATAATAAACAATTATAATTAATAAGTAATTTTTTAATGACACAATTTTTATTTTAAAAATGTTGTTAGTTTGGTTCTAAAGTTTGATACGGTAATTCAAAAGTTGCTTTTCCGATATGAACGCCCAAAATGAGTCCAAAGTTTGTAAAATGCCACCCTGACGGGTAGCTACGGCATATATATACCTGCTATACCAATGTCACGAGCGCATTAGGCAACAACCCTGACTCTTAACAACCTTACTCACCGCAGAAACAGAACGCTACAAAAGTTTACTTGTTTTAGTTTGTCAGCGTTCATAATATGTATGAATTTTTTTTTATATTTATGTCTTTCAATGTAATGAAAAGTGTATAACAATTAGAAATCCATAGAAAAAAAAGCGACTAATATAAACAAACTTCTATAAGGAGTATATTTTTATTTCAAGTATGAAAACAATTTTGGGCTTATCATACTAATTTGATAACCTGTGCTTTTGTTACATTTTAAATATATATAAAAAATAATATAATAGTCTGAAATCAAGCGATAATAAAAAAACAACATGAACACATTTGTCCGAAGAACATATTTTCATTTTCTGTATGAAAACAAATTTTTAATTTTTCAAGCTTATTTGATGACATGTCGTAACCGGGTGGTTTATATAAAGGACCGCTTTTTTTATCTCCCTTGGGGAAATATATCCAGTTTCATAAATATAGTATGCCCGTATATGTACTCTGTAATATTTATTCTATAGTTATAATAAGATAGGAAGGGTAACCCTCATATATATCCTATAGATCAAATTTCCTATCAGATAGGCTTGCTTGTATGCAATGACTTTAAAGAATAGACGCTGTATCTGTTATAACTGATGATATCTAAGACATTAGTCAGATTAGTATTAATACCCAAATGATTTCATCGCCATTCTACAAGTTATATTGTTACATTTCAAAAGGTTTAATAAGGATAAAATTGACAAAAACATGATCCTCTTAAAAGGACAAAGTATTCTGATTTCTATTCATAAAATTAAATTCATTTCGAATTAAATCAGTCAGTTGCCATTTTTCTCGTCCACCCGTCGTGAGACGTCTTTCAAAAAGTTCTTATGTCTGCATAGATGATAATTTAAAAATCAGTCAATTGCAAGGCGGCTTAGAATTCTGAAGACTTTGGGCCGTTGTTCTATGCAATCTTTATAAAAAAAAAGAAAAGTCGTAACATTTTTTACATTAAATACTAGCTGACACGGCAAACGTTGTTTTGCTACCAACCATCACCTTCCAGATCCATTTTTAACACATCATTTTACAATAAAATCTATTCTATCTCTCAAGATGGAGCAAGCAATACATATTTACAAATTTTTTTGATTGACATGAACGAAAATCATGATATGTTCTAGTGCATTAAATTTTAATATATACCTACTAAGGAATAAAATAAATTCAAGAGATTTTCTTTCCACTTACCAGTTACTAGATTAGCATGATGAAATTGGCATACAGCATCAGCCTCGTACCAGGAGATGCGGTCCCTGAAGTAGCGGTAGAACACTGGGAATCCCTCCTCGGGTAGTACCCAGGTGTTGCTGATGTTGACCTTTCGATAAAAAAGATTGTTTTACTCATTAAAAAAATGTGGAAAATAATAATGTTGATAACAATATTATGTTTCACAGATAATTAATCTATGATGACATGATAAACTTTGCCTATTAATAATTAAGATTTGGTTCCAAAAAAAAAACAACTTTAATTATGGCAAAACCAGTTATTTTGATTTAGAAACTAAATTACCGAATCGATTTTGATAACATTTCTATGGAACTAATCTGTAAGTATATCCTTTCATATAAAAAAGAAATTTACAAATTGGTTTACAACTGACGGAGTTATGAGGTGGCAAACATAAAAAAAATATTACCGAATTGAGAACCTCCTTTTTTTAAGGCGGTTGAAAATAAAGTATAGCGTTTTCCCAGTAGATCCTGACATTTATTCATAATTAGCAAAATTATCTTCGAGTTTGTTATATTAAAAATAATAAATACACTACATATAGCAATTCATAGTCATACGAGAAGAAAGGGCGAGACGCTTCATCTAGTATACTTATATCCGTTCTGCGAATTTTCACCGCAACGTTCTTTCCGCTAAATTCGATAATAATAGAAATTTCATGCTACTATTCTTTACTATAAATAGGCATATACATCTAAAAACGGTACAAAATTAACATTCAAAGCGCGTATAAAATAAAACAAAAACCAAAATAAAGCAATAGATAAACTTTCTAGTGCGTATATACTAGTACTACATAACTTTCTGTAATAAAACTGAACATAATTTTATGAATACCTGCACTCCTTAAATTTTAAAATTTTAATTGTTACTTTTTTATTTTACGCTTTAAAGACTCGTAAAATGACCTTAATCATCTGATGAAAGTGATGATGAAATCAAAGACGGAACTTGTGAATCCTATTAAGAGCTTATTCACTTTAACCTTTAATGCAGATTAAAATGCTCCGAAAAGACAGACACAGAGAGAGAATTCCGCTCTTTGCACGCATGAGGAAAGAAAACAAAGTAATTCTCTTGAATTGGTATTAAACCGTATCTGGGATTGTATTTGCAACCACGGAGAAATTACTACAATTCAAGATTAGCAGTACTAAAGCAAGTCATCTCATTTCTTTTGTTGTAGGTAATTTTCATTTATCTTTATGTGACACCAAAATAACTAGTAAATGTACTAATATTACCATCTATTGTATTTTTTTTTTACAGACAACACTAATGACCAAAACTAATCGACATCTCTAGTGACGTACAGTTCCGTGGCCACCTCGAAGATAAGGTGAAGCTGGCATCCAAAAAACTCGGTGTGCTCAATAGAGCGAAGCATTACTTCACGCCGGATCAGCGATTAATGCTTTACAAATCGCAAATCCGGCCCCATATGGAGTATTGCTGTCACTTAATCAGCTTGAACCCTTCGAATGCAACGACGAGCTATGAATCGATGATCCCATGCTTGCAAGCGGTATCAAACCCTTAAGTCTTAGGAGAGATTTTGCCTACTCTGCGTGTTCTACCGCTTATACAACGGATTGTGCTCAGAGGAATTATTCAATATGTCATCGTACGGCTCGCCATCGACATGTTCACCCTCATACCTTACAGCCTAAATGGTCGCGTACAACGCGGTTTCAAATGCTTTCTCCCACGAACAAGGTTATGGAATGAGCTTGCCGAGGTTTTCCCGAGAGATTACAGCATGGGGTTCTTCAAAAGGGGGTAAAGAGGTTTCTTCAGGGTCGGCAACGCGCGCGTAATACCTCTGGTATTAGGCTACGGTAACCGCTTACCATCAGGTGGGCCGTATGCTTGTTTGCCACCTCATGTATAAAAAAAAAAATTAAATTAATCCAAATGACGGTGATAGACTTGCACCCTCCCACTAAGGATTCTAATATGTTCGGCGAAATGTAGACATGTCGAATCAAAAACAATTGTACAATGAGTTGTAAACAATATAATGAAATGTAAAGTTTGAGAGTACCTATTTTTATATTTTTTTTTATATTATTGGTAGATATTTGATAACAAATAAAAAAGTAAATAGGTCATTAATGACATTTAATAATGGACGTTTCGACATCTGTAATAATCTTACAAATTTATAGTTAAATAAGTATATACAATGGTAACTTTTGTATTGGTAATGGTGCTTTTGGCAACGGAAAGTTTCATGCCTATAAATTTGATTTGTAATAAAGATAAAAGTGCTTCGAAAAGCGATTGCCCGTAAGGTCAGTCGCTTGTATTGACTTGTTTTGACATAAATACCAACATTACTTGTCACAGTATAAATTGTGTAAGTATTATAATAATTACGTGTTTAATATTTATATGTATACATTATCTAGTATCTACAATATAATCTCTGCTTAGTTTAGATTTAAATAACACTGTTTTATTACTTCCATACCTATAATTATATTAGTTCTTTATTATTAATCAAATCTCCTCAGTTTATTACCTACCTTTACAATTTAGATATCAAGGTACATAAAATTTACAGTACATTTTATTAATAATATAAAACATATTAATACATGAAAATATTTTATATCCATAAATGTAAATTCATATAAAAAAAATACAATTTCATTTTTGAATTTATTCACCTTTATAAAATATGACATGACAGTGAAACTTCCAAAGAGAGCGTTAAAACTTACCACAAAGAAAAAACTTTAAAAGTCCGCAGTCCTTTTAATCCGTAGATGAAATTACAAGGCAGGAATTTTTAGGTCAGAGTTTTATAACAAAACATTATTCTTTAAAACTAGTTCTATTACTGTGCAATAAAAAATAGATAATTTATTTCAAAGCTATAAACAAATGCACTTGCTCTGTACTCCGATCAATTGCTATCCACAGAAAACTTTTGTAAAATACTGAAATCGTTCCCCAGTCTCGATTTTATCAAAGCTTTGTAGGGTTAAAACTAATTTCCCGTTCGCCATCTGTTAACTCCCGTTCCAGTCTGATTGCGATCATTCTTCCTCAGATTTTAAAAGTAGCCTCTAATAATAAATTCAATGATAAAAATCTTTATTTATATTCTACCATTTTATTCTGTTCTAATTATTTTGTTTATCAGTTTTGAAGAATTATTAAATGCATATTGGATTTCTTAAAAGGAATAAATTTTAATAAATATTTTTGTTAAAAACATAACAATATCTACAAATCGAATAAAAGTGTATAAAATAAACAATCATTGATACATAATATTTTTTTATAAGTACCTACAGGTATATTAGTAGTATTTTCTATAAAATAATATTGCATTATGTTACGAACATATTGCTTTATACAAATAATGAAATAAAATACAATTTTACATCCGAATAAAAATGCGATGATTATATTGTAATCATCATATAATCTGGAAGTGATTGAACATTTTTATAATATATATCAGCTATAATCTAAGATATTAATATTTAAATATATTATAAATAATATTAAAATACCATTAATTTATCTTTTGATTTAAACTGAAGCCTATAAAGACTATAAAGAAAAACGTTAATAAAAAAACAAAATAGCCTATGACTGACAAAGTTCAAACTATCGAAGTACACAGCAACAAATAATTCTGTCACAGCCAATGACACGGTAAACTATGTACGGAGCGCTTTGTAAGCAAGTTTTAGTCGCACTTGTCTAACGTTTACTAACTGTTCTTAAAAACTAAAACTTAATTCGGTGGGTTTACGTCTAGAGAGTGTCTGTAACTATGTATATAGGTACTTTTTTGCTCTATCGTCAGACGCTGGTTGTTATTTATAATCATATACAATTCTCTTTTCATTTAAGAGTTTCCTCTTGTCGGTGCAACTAATTCATGCATCTTCCTCCAGCCAGCTCTATCCCAGGCCATATCCTTTATCTCCCTATACGACATGACGCCTAGTGTTTCCTTTATCTATCCCATGTAGTTAATCCTCGGTCTTCGTCTTCCTCTTTTGCCCTCTATCTTTCCTTCTATTATGCTCTTAAAAAAATCGTCATGTCGTATAAGGTGGCCCAGCATTTTGCCTCTTCTATTCTTTATTATACAATTACTTGTTTAATAAGTTCAATCGTGACATAATACGAGTCACTGACAGCTGGATGGATGTGAACTGTCCTAATAGTTACAGTGTCATTTAATATATACAGTATTTTTAAGTAACAACGAGGTATGTTAATAAATAAAAAAAAAGAAAATATCTAATAATTTTAGACATAAAATTATCAACATGGGTCTAAATAGTTTATAAGCAGATATATATACACTTTTTATATACATATTTTATAACTACTGTATATCTACTGAATGGTAAATATACATTGTATACATAGTTACAAATATTAATTTATTAATTTTAATACTTTTATGAGCTAAATTAAATTATGGTCATAAACGTATATTCAATGTGAAAAATGAATCCACTCAGAGTGACTCCCTGGAGGTTTCAATCTTAATTACCCAAATTTATTTCTTAGCATTTCTCAGACTGCTTTTAGGTGACGCGGCCTATTAATTTTATATAATGAGCCAATAATTCAAGAACATGTTGGTATCTGATGGCGTAGCATATCTATTTCATTTCAGGACCAACTTTCTTATTCACTAAATATTACCTTAATATTTCTAGAAACCATGAAAAATTTTGAGACTACTTGAAAATTAATTTAAGAAATTTAAGGTAATTCAATTAAAAAATAACATATATTACGAAATTCAATTTGTAACGATATATCGGAGGTTAGAATAGTTTGCTGGCAGTTAATTTGTAGGGGAGTATTGCTATACTCCCTGTGATTGTTTTCTTTTTCTATTTTTGTTTTTCAGTGTTGTATTATTTTATTTTTATTTTCACGTACCTAGTATTTGTTTGACTTTGTGTCCGTTCATCTGCGTTTGTGCACCAAATAAGTGTAGCTCTTAAGGATACCACATATTTTCACGAACGTCGCCATAACCATAAGTCTTATCACAATATCAGGGCTTTTAACAATGGGTAACGTGCCTGCTGC